GAGTCAATAATGATAGCTATTATTCCCGAGGATTATTACGAACTGAGCCGCGTTAGCGGCGAGGGAGTAACATTCCGAGGGAATAATAGCCATTATTGCGAGTAGTATACTCTACTTTATTTACGACAAATTAATTTATTTGAGATTTTCATTGAACAAATTTCATCCGTCTCATAATTTTCAATACAAATCCACAAGCACTACACGTTTGACACTGACACTTTTGTGGAATAATGACCATTAATCCCGCTACTCGTCATTAATCCCTGGAGGAATAACATATGTCATTATACTGCCAAAATCACAAATATAATACGCACATTATACATTAGTCGTAAATAAAACTGGTAATTATACGTGAATTACTAGTAAAACCTGCAGTTACCAGCCAAACAAACATTCTATTTGATCATTTTGAAGGATGAAAGTAACCAATTTGTACCGGTACCTACTTATTTGTTTAATTTTTGACACCTTCACAAACCTACACAATGGTGGCACTTTGCGGCCTTGCGGTACAAAATAGTTATTTATGTATCAAGGGTACTAAGTAGATGATTATGCTCTGAGGGCGACAGCCTTACACAGCCGAGGGCCTCTGGCCCGAGGGTTCGTAAGTCGCCCGAGGGTATATATATCTATTAGTACCCGTGGTGCATACAAACTTTTATGTCATACCAGGGGGACTTTATTTGAAATCGTATCAACTTTGCGTACACGCAAACGACGTCATTTGTGGCGTAATTGTTGTAAAAAATGGTTTTTTATTTTTTAAAACTGTTTAATAGGTATATTATCCCTGATAATTATCCAAATAAAAGCATCTAAGTTGGTTACGCCAACTACATCAGAAGTGGTTGAAGAGTGTGTTGTTTTTAGAGGTGAATAAAATAAAATGCCTCACACACCGCCCAGGCCGCCACCTTCAGACTTTTCAGAGCGACAATCAAGAAAAAAAAGCAAGTTGAAAGGATCAGAAAGACGATCACGAAGCAGCAATAGTAGTAATACTGAATATGAACGGAGTCAGAGCAAAAATTGTAAGAAGTTAAAAAAATACTCAAAATCAAGGTGCAGGAAAGGAACTGTAAGTAAAAATCATTCCTCTAATTCAACACAATGGTATAATGTAGAGCCAACTGCAAGTATATCTACAATCATTCCTGAATTTGATCCTGCAAACATGAATGTAGATGAATGGATCGAAGTTATCGATTATAATGCTAGAATTTATAAATGGCCCGGAAATTTCATAGTATACCAAGCATTTAACAAGCTCAGAGGTACTTCTAACAAGATATGACAATTTTATTCAATCAGAATTAGGGTGGTCGAAGTATAATTGGGGAGAGTGGAAAGATATACTAAAAGGTAGGTACTTTCAAAAGCTCTCGAAATGCATATATGAATTATTAATCGATATAGCAAATCATAAGCCAATAGATGGTGGTTCATTGTATGATTTTTATTTCAGGCATGTAGCAAAAATAAATAAAATGAGGTTGAATTTTTCGGATGCTGACAAAGTATCGCTGGTTGTTGGGGCTATTGGAGATAACAATATAACTTCAGCAATTGAAGCTGCAAATATACAGAATCCGGAAAATTTGGCTGCATATTTGAAAAATAAAACATTCACTGAAAAATCAATATCAATGCCCTTGGAAACGAATACACCTGATACTAGTGTTATAAAAACGTTCTCAGTACTTCCAAAAGTCAATAGAGCAGATTTATTAGTCATTTACCTAACAAATGCGGAAAGTGATACTTTACCGCACGCAACGGCAAGCCGTTAAGGGCGGTAAAGGCACTTTCCGCATGTGTTAGGTACAAAATTTTACCTATGATGAGCATCTACATCTCTAAAAAAGGGCATTGATAAAATTAAATATTGAATCAGATTAATTAATGAAATAAGATTAAATATAGAAATGATCAAAAATCCATTTTCTGAAAAAGAGAGGATTTCTAATTAAAAATATCAAATTTTACTTTACCGCACACTATGCGGTAAAGTGCACTTTACCGCACACTTTGTAGTCCACTTTACCGCATACTATGCTGTAAAGTTAACTTTACCGCACACTATGCGGTAAAGTGCACTTTACCGCATAGTGTGCGGTAAAGTGGTACTTTCCATTTGCAAATACGTGCGGTAAAGTGCACTTTACCGCACGCTCGTAGGTAAAATATTTTACATTATTAGCCAGGTAAAACAGTTTTTACTGGCGATTGAAGGAAATGACTAGCGAGCCGTTAGGCGAGCTTATCACCTTCAAGACCCAGTAAAAACTGCTACCTGGCGTATAATGTACAATAATTTATTTGTTACTCTTCCAGAAGGTACCTACAAGCAATTATTCTTATGATATAACCGATTTTTTTAAAATAAATAATTCTACTGACTTGTAAAAAGTTTTTACCTACGAGCGTGCGGTAAAGTGCACTTTACCGCACGTATTTGCAAATGGAAAGTATCACTTTACCCCACACTATGCGGTAAAGTGCACTTTACCGCATAGTGTGCGGTAAAGTTAACTTTACAGCATAGTATGCGGTAAAGTAGAATACAAAGTGTACGGTAAAGTGCACTTTACCGCATAGTATGCGGTAAAGTAGAATTTGATATTTATAATAAAAAATCCTCTCTTTCAGAAAATGGATTTTTGATCATTTCTAAATCTTGTCTAATTTCATTAATCAATCTGATTCATTAATTAATTTTATCAATGCCTTTTTTTGGAGATGTAGATGCTCATAGCTAAAATTTTGTACCTAACACATGCAGAAAGTGCCTTTACCGCCCTTAACGGCTTGACCGAACTCCGCTTCGCGTCGTTCGGTCAACTGCCGTTGCGTGCGGTAAAGTATCACTTTCCGCATTTGTTAGGTAAATAACTATTACAGTTTAGCTGTCAATTTTACAAGTCAGTAGAGCCAGTAGCTTGTAAAAATCAATTTCCATTGTTTATGTTTTGACTTGATAAGTGACGTTTTGCAAATGAGTGACAAATAAAATAATTGTTTTTGTTGTGGAAAAATTGGTAACCACAGAAATGATTGTAAATATAAAAACAAAATTTGCAATTTTTGTGAAAAAAAAAGGTCATATCGAATATAACTGTCTTAGAAAAAAGCAGGATTATCACAAAACAAGAACAAATAGGTAACAAATTGGTTGAAATCAAAAACAATTCTTTGAAATTTAATGAATAAATTTACATAAATAAAAAAAGGGTCAATGCTTTTATTGATTTCGGTAGTGACTGCTCATTGTTAAATTTAGAGACAGCTCAAGTATTAGGTTTAAAAGTAATTAGATGAGAATGTCACATTATCTGGATCTTTAGGAGTTGGGACAGTTGTGTCAGAGTATACTGAGGCTCTCACTCAGATGATGATATTCAATTGAAAATAAAATTTCATGTAATAAGGGATGAGAATTTGGAATGTGATATTTTTATTGGGAGAAACTTTACTGAGGCAATTATTTACTATCGAATTGATAAAAATCTTGTTTTTATCGTGCGCAAGTTCCTAAGTGGTTATTAGATATTAAGCTTGGTCTTTTATCAGAATATCAAGAAATTTAAATAAGCTTTTGTTGAAATATAAAGATTATGTTTTTGTGAATTTAAATAATCTGGGCAAAGTACATTCTGTATATTTAACAATCGAATTGATTTCTGATAAGCCTGTGACTTATTGTCCTAATCGTTTCAATGAAAAGGATAAAGAAGTTTTGAGAAATATTATAAAAGAATTGTTAGAAGCTAAAATTATTCGAAAAAGCGACTCGCCATTCTCGAGTCCTGCCCTCCTGGTAAAAAAAGGTGAGCACGACAAGAGGATGGTGGTAGTAAACTGAGCATTGAATAAAATAACTATAAAAAAAATCAATCAATCAGGATCCTGAATCCATTCCTTATACGGCGTTTATTACTCCGGAAGGACAGTACGAGGTCGAACGTGTTCCTTTTGGATTATGTAATGCACCAACAGTTTTTCAAAAGTTTATGACTGAAATTTTCGCACTCTTAAGAAATTTTAACGTGATTCCATATTTGGATATCGTGATACCTTCAAAAACCATTGAAGAGGGATTGGAACTTTTAAGTAAGGTATTGGAGATTATTAAAGAGTTTGGCCTTACATTGAGAATGAATGAGTCATCTTTTCTGACAGAAAATATAACTTATTTAGGCTATGAAATTTCAAACTCAAAATCAAAAACTGAAGCAGTAGAACACTTTCCTTATCCTAAAAATCGACATCAGCTGAGACAATTCTTAGGTTTAGTAGGGTAGGTATTTTAGGAAATTCATAGCGGATTTTGAGCGTTTCACTGCGCCACTTACTAAATTATTAAGAAAAAACAGTCGTTGGCAATGAACAGATTACCATAAAAAAAACTTGACAATTTGAAACTAAAAATATGTGCTAAACCAATATTAGCTATTTTAAATCCATCATTGCCAACAACTGTATGTGCTGATGCAAGTCGAGAAGACTTTGCTAGAATTCTGATTCTAAAGATTGATAATACGGAAAACCCAATAGCATATTGTGGCAAACAAACCAATAATGCAGAAAAAAATTATCACTCTCTCGAATTGGAGTTACTAGCTATTGTTAAAAAATTAGTACGGTTTAGATTTTATTCAATTGGTTATGATTTTAAAATCATTACAGATTGTAATGCGGTTAAAAATGCATTAAATAAACAAACTATAATACCTCGATGGGTACTATCTTTGCAAGACTTTTCTTATACTATTGAACATAAAGCGGGGTCTCAAATGCAACATGTAGATGCCTTAAGCAGAAACTTTGAACAATTAGATCATGTGGATTATTATTACTATTCTCTGGTTTTGTATTTTTTAAAACTGTTTAATATATTATCCCTGATAATTATCCCAATAAAAGCATCTAATTTGGTTCCGTCAACCCCCTAAACTACAATATGATCCAATGTAACCCCAATTTACAATCGTCTTCTCCAGTGCTCAATGGCAGAAGATATTAGTTTTTGAGGCAGCGGATTCGTTCCAGCATACCATTATTTGTTTCTTTTGTTGATCAATATCAAGAATTCTCGTTCTATCGAAGACGGTTCATTCTAACTGACTTCAAACCAAGTAATCAATCGAAGTGAAATTTATACTACAAGATGGCTATAAATTGGGGCTAGAAAACCAGGATACTGCAGCTGAAGATGACTTTTTGTAGAAACTCTAACATCTCTATAGTCCGTTCATAAAGCCTACAGACTTAATGAAGTGCGTTGGACGCTGATTCGTCAAAACCAGGCGGTCGACTTGAGCATATTGGATCTCTTCCTGTGTTTGGTTCAGTTCAAGGGAGCATTATTAAATTTTTTAATGTCAGCTGGATGATAAAATAAAATAAAATGTGAAAATGAAAATTTAGGCGGAGGGCCTCTAAATTCGTGGAAAAAACATTGACATATTAGGGAATAGGGTGAGTTTTATTGTGGGGTTAGAAAGTATCTGGGGAGACGGTATGTGTCTTGAGGGCTGGAGCGAGTGTGAGACTCACGGACGAGAGGGTTTAGGCTGACGTCGATTTTTTGGTAGTACTTGATCAAGAGCTTGGCGACAATTTGCTTAATTATGTCGATATGGAGATCATCGTGGAGTTCTTGGGTAGGGGTGTACATCGGCGCGTCCACGTGATCTTTGATCTCTGGAACTTTGTTTTGAATTTTCTAGATTTTGTGCCTATGGGTCGCCGCCCCATAGGTGATTATTGATCTTATCATGGATTTATAGAGAATGATTTTATTATTTATTGAAAGAAGGGTATTTTTGGTTAAGAATGGGGTATAAACAAATGATTTGTGCCTTTGCCTTCGCCACAATTGCTACCGTGTTGTCTGTCGAAGATTAGGTCCAGGTACTTCACTTTACTGAACCAGTTTATTGGCCTACCGGCTACTCTCGTCCAAATAGATGGTGTGGTGCCTCCTATTGAATCCCTCCAGAATTTGCGAAGCCATGCGTGTGGTCTGGTTTACTGTTCCCTATCCAGAGACCAATCCCAGTTGTTCGGGGAGAAGGAGATTGTTTATTTCAACGTGCTTCTGTAAACGTCCCAGAATGACCTTTTCGACCACCTTGCCAATGTTCGAAAGGAGACTAATGGGTCTATAGGGAGATATGTGTTTTGGATTTTCACTTCTCTGCCTTATCAGAATGACCTTAGCGTCCTTCCACGCAAGGGGAAAGTGGCCGAGCGAAAAGGAAGCGTTGGCTATATGATGGCAGAAAATGATTTTGACTCTTTCTGGGACGTTTTTCAGGGCTTTGTTGGGAACAGCATTCAGACCTAGGACTTTTTTGACGTTCAATTCTGGAAGGATACTTCTCACCTCGGCGACGGTGACAAGGTGATGGTCAGGGTTGATAGGCATGCCCTCGTAAATATTGTATGTTGCATCCACTGAGTTTTCCTTTCCGAGGTTCTGCACTGGGTCTTCACTGATCTGGATTAGGAAATTGGAGGCAAGCAAATCGGCCTTCTCGCTCGGAAGGCACACAATCCGGTCGTCCACTTCCAGATTTGGAAGCGGACGACGGGCGCCTGTAATTAAATGTTTGGCTGTTTTATAAGCGGAGTTGTTGTCCGCTGAAATTTTGGCTTGTGCCTTCTAAAATTTTCGTTGTATTGTGAGATGGCCTCGACGTTCCCCAGCAGTCCTCGGTATCGAGCCCAATCTACGTGATTAATTTCTATGAGGCCTTGTGAGGCAAGGTTTGGGTTTCCATACTCGACGAACACTAGGAGATGATCGGAGATCAACTCGTCGATGACGGTGGACTCTGAGATGAGATTGCTGCTTTTTGCGACGAAAACGTCCCGAATTTCGGGGAGCCCTCGAGCAGAAAAATGTGTGGGTTCGTGAGGCGAAATAATGGTGAAATTGAAGGTGTCCGCAAGATTGTTCGAAAAGACACCGCTTGTGTTTGTAGCCCTGCAGCCCAATCTCTAGATTTCGCGTTCAGATTGCCTCCATAAGAATGCGATCATCAACATCAAATATTGCAGAAATTGACTGAGTTAGATTTTTTGATGGGCTGGTGTATACCGATCCTAGGACCAGGAGAACATCAACTTTAAAGTTTTCCGCGAATCTTAGGAACTCAATCTTTTTGTGCAATATTGAGTTGATGTTAATGGTCGCAATCTTTAAATAATAGGCTTTCAGTATCCTATCAAGTTCTGTGATTCCTCAGCTGTTGGACTTTGGATGACATCATCTTGGGGAGAAGCTGGACAAACTTCTGCTGCATGTTGAGCATGAATTGCAGCATGTTATCCTGCATAGATTTCAGCATGGCAGCAAGTGGGTCCAGATTACCTCCCTTCAGAGCCTGGGTTATTTTGGCTGCCCCACTGAATGACATTTCTTTGACAACTATCTTGAAAAAGACTGTTGTCTCAGCCGATGCAAGCACTCGAATGGGTGGGTTGGGGTCGACTTGAGCGACCAGCGCTTAATTTATTAAACGATTAACCCGTGGCCCTAGTGAAGACCCAAAATCTAGCCATTCAGCGTCGAGCATCTCCGATCGAGCATTTCTCTTTCTTTCTCTTGATAGTCTTTCAGGACGGATCTCCTTCTCTAAATGAACATTGGTAGCAACTCCTTCACGCTAAGTATTTTCATTTGCTTCTATAGTAGATATTTCACGTATTTTTTATCTGTTTGTAAATCTTGCGCAGTAATGTTCTGAATCGCTCGCATTTTCTTTGTCGAACAGTAGTAGGTAGGTACTTGTAAAATACTACTGATAAGAAAATGATGCAGACATGCATATAGTTTTTTTTTTTGCAATCTACAAAATGTAAACCTTCAGTTTTCAGAGAAATATTTTAATGCATTTCATATGAATATTTAAATATTTCTAATTCATAATGTTTTTTGGATGACTGCAATAATCGAATTGTACCAGAACTAATTAGGAAATAGAAACTTATCTTCGATTACACAAACATATCCGTAATCGTTATTCGTTTTATAAACAAAATTTAAGTATAAATTATACCAATATTAACTGGATTATTGTCATTATTATTAGATAAAATTGGTATTAGAAACGCTCAAAAATGAAATTTGTAGTGTCCATTGTGTTGTGCTGCTTGGTAGTGGCTTCATTGGTAAGTAAGATTTTTTAAATATTTTTTGCCCATTTAATTTCTTGCTTTATTTATTTATTTTTTTTTCTCTTGGCTTTGTCTAGCTTCATGACCACCATTTCAAATCCTAAACCTTTCGTTTGGGTGACTTACATTTGATAGGTATCTACAATCTATAATTTTCTCAATTCTCTATTGTTTTGAAGGCAGAAAAAAGTTGAAATGCATTAGGCAAATCAACTTTATGCAGATCTCTATCTATTTTACGGATTTTTGTCAAGAAAATTTAGAAAGAACAACAAAATGTTATATTAAATAGTTTCAAGTTCACTTGGTTGTATTTGCCGCATTCTTGTTTTCTGTCCCTATACGCCCATTTGTCCCCTTTGAGAAAACCTCTGGCAGTCTTGATGAAGTAAGTACCTACCTGACACTTCCACTAACTTCGTCAATTCTCCATTAATATAATTTCCAGGGTTGCACTTATGAAAACGTGTATCTTTGTCTCTGAATAATTTTGTTGCACAATAATATTGTTCGTCGATTTTAATCTGATACTCGGACGGAATGTGAGCTGGTGGGTCCCTACATTAAAACGCCAATGGCCACCTGACGTCACACCTGTTTTTGCCATAAGATTCACCCCCTCGCTCTTCATACCGCAAGTGTCAGTTAAAAATCTACGAACAATACATATCAACACAATATAGATATTAAATTATCGCTAAGCTGCTGGTATCGGGACAGAATACCATAAGAGTGTATGATCAAAAAATAAATAGATTGATATAATTAAGTAATTTGATTTAAAAACTATTAATAAATTCATTATCCTATATAAAGTTTTTACTTTTTAAATACATTTTTAATTGGTTCATATATAAAATATAGCTTGAGTTAAGGGGTCATGAAAAGCTGTGTTTGTTCTAACGTTTTTTAGATAAATATTACTATTATACATATAAGATCCGAGAAAAAAAAAATAAAAATAAAAGCTTCTGGTGAGAAAAACCAAACCAATCAAGAGATGCTATAACATGACTCAAGTGTATTAAAGCCAGCAGAAGCTGAACAAACTTCCAACTATAGATATAATTGCTTTTCCATTTCTAGGCTGATGAAGTTCCAGAAGAAGTCAAACAAAAGATTAAGGCTGCCAATGAGAAATGTCAGGAAAATACTGATACCGCTATCGACGAGAAAGCTTTACAGGCCTGGATGAAATCTGGTAGAGATGCTAGTCAGCGTCCAGCTAACTTGGGACCTCACACCTTATGCATTGCTAAGGTAATGGAGTGGATAAAAGAAGACGGAACACCTAATAGAGAAGGCCTAAAAGAAAAAATGAGTAGAAGAATAACAGACAGTGCCAAAGTTGAAGAAATTCTCAATAGATGTGCAGCGAAACAAGAAACCCCAGAAGCTACTGCTTTACTCATGATGAAATGTCTTCTTTCTTCTCATTAATAATGTTTCGAATGATATAATAAATATTTTGTGTCGTAATATTATTTTTTTTTTTTTCACAGAACTTGATGTTACATAGGTACTTACTGTAGGTATGTTTTTTTAAAAAATAGTTCATAAATAACCAATGATATAAATTCAATATAAGTAAGTACACTGTATACAAGAAATAGATAGCTAACTCGTCAAGATCTCACACAGATTGGGAAAAATTGGATCAGATAAAAGTCTTCGGACGCAACTATCTCAAGTTAATTAGTCTAATTTCGAATATACTTTAACTTTACACGGTTCATCAATTTTCAGAAATATAAGTAACACGTCACACATATTAAATTTCTAAAACTTTAATTTAATTTTTTGTTTTATTTTCTGTAACCTCTTATTTCTTTTAGTAACAATAAGCTTTAAGCAATCCATAACGAAATTTCGATGAAAAACCTGAACTTTATTATATTTATTTTATTAAATCAGGAAGGATTAGCGGGTACGATAAAATCAAATTTCATTATTGAATGTCCAATTTAATTAAATTTAGATAGGGTTTTTGATTTTGAATTTCAACGTTAAAATTTAATACATTCAAATAATTGCATTTAAACGCGTGTTGATTGGAATTGTATCTGTGTAATCTGTATATCTGTCTCCTAAATTGCTGCAATATTTACTAAAATACACATATGAAATTTTGTTTCACTTTTATAATATTTTTTATTCTGTTTTTATTATTCCCGATTTGCCTTGATGACCACATTTGTACAAATACCTATAACTCTCTGTTTAATTTAGTATGATATAAATTATAATATATTATAATTACAGCTGAACTACACAGCATTATCAAAAATAATTTTCTATAAAACTCAAATGCAACTATACATATTCTAAGGCCCGGTTTGTTCATCTTCAGATAAACTAGCTGGTAACTATCTGCAATATAAATTTATCGTTCTATAATTCTATTAAGTATTGATATTTCGAAGTGTCGTCTTTCTTCTGCATCTCGTCTGCTAGCGCTAGCCGTCCGATTTCGTCCAATGGCGGATAACTGGCCTACCACTGAGATTACTGATTGGGTTTTTATCCGTCAGAGTGCATATCTGACAGTTCATCAAAAAGTGACTAAACCGGCCCTATATCAAATAAATAAACATCATATATACCTACTTTATGACTTTCTTGAGTCAAACTGTGAAAGACTACTGATTTAAAATTTAATGTTGCAATAGTATTCTAATGCCGGTTTTCCACCAAATCGACAAAACAAAAACAAAACTTAACCTCAGACAAAACTCTCACTTTTCCCAAACATTTTCAAGACTAGCGTGTTCTGCGACAGTTGGAGTTTTGTTTTTCGGGTCCCGTTCGGAAGCGGTGAATATGAAACTCAAACACAGACTCGGGTCTATTCAGTTTTGTTTTTGTTTTAAAACATGTTTCAAAACACAAACTCAACAGTTCATTTGGTGGAAAACCGGCATTAAGCTTCTCAAACTCAGCCTTCTAAAATTAACTAAATAAATAATATATACATAATTTTATCAATTGGGTAATTATTTTAAAGGTTAATACTATGCGAGTTCAAACAAGTTTCAATAAATAAAGCTGTTTCCTTTGGTGTTGCTTTGGAAACTTTGCATTCTGAAACAATGGCATCTATATCCTGATCTTCTTCAGCTTTTTTGGTAACTCGTTTTTTCAGATTATCTTCATTTACTGTGTTATCTTCGTTGATATACCCCAAACCTAGGAAATATTTATGTTCTATTTATGCTAAATTCATGAAAACAAACTTCATTTTCTATTTACCTTTCAAAATGCAGAGCTTGTGATCTCCGTAATTTTCAGGTAGGTCAACTTGCTTGTGTTTTTTCAGTTTTTTTAAAACTGAATTATCAATTTTAGTTGCATCATTTTTTTGGCATTCCTTTAATACTTTTTTAAGCGATTTGGCCTTTTCTTCATCATCGGGCTTCTTTTTTCCTGAGACAATCTGTTAAGTTTTAAGTAAGTACAATTGAATTAAGCATTTTGTGGATAGAAGACAGAATGGAAACCAGCGAAATACTAACGAAGCTTTTGCTCCACAGAAAACAGTAATGAAATAGATATACATTTTGAAAAATTCTCTAATGCATAGATCTAACTAACATTGCCGTTCAGCATTCCTACTTTGGAAAACATATTTCAAAAAACACTTACGTTAAGAGCCAGAAGAACCACACACAATACAATAAAAAATTTCATTTTTTATCCAAATATTCCAGAAAACCAATAACAGAAAAGCAGAAATCTTGGTCGTTGAATACTGTATTACGAACGAAATCATCAAGCGGTCACATTCTGCGTTATCGTGGTTTCGATTATTTTTAAGGGGTCATCATAGGAGTCATGAGTTGACTGGATGCAGTCTAATTATAGCTGGCATACGAAACCGTATGCTAAAGTAGTGAAAGATGAAATTGAGAACATTGTCAGACTATTTGATACCATTTGAATTGATCGGGTAGAATATACTTAGATGCTGGAGCTTAATCTGGCTCTAACTGCCAAATTGATCTCAACATAATTGAACATTTTAAAATAATAATTAGGATAAATATATGTTAAGTAGATTGTTGATTTGTATGAGCAGGACTTTTTCCTGTGTGTATTTGCATACCTGGCTAGACTAAAAGAAATTGTCATTGAAAACATTGCCACGCTTTTTCTGTGTTGGACAATTGAAAGTGGGAAAAAAATATACTAATCAAGATTGCAGGACTGGAGGTCAAAGTACGTGCAAACAATTCGGAGAGTAGGGGTGGGTTATGTTTTGGGCGCCACCAACTCAGGACAGATTAGTCGGACTCTCCAGGATTTTATCTGGCTTCAGGTCCTTACAACTTGATCGAATTTTTGAAATAAGAAATAAAAAATAACACTAATAATAAGTAGCGGGCTTAGTGCATAAAAACAAATAAAATTCAAGTAATTCAAGTGCTATAGAGTTCGTTAATACAATGATGTGACCAAAGCTAAATAGATAAAATTATCAATCCACATGAAAAGCTTACGCCTAGCTAAAACAAATATACCTAATTGTTGTTTTACTTGTCACTTGGTACAAGTAGGTACCTACACCTAGGTACTGAATTTTACCCTTACGTACTGCAGTGATTACTTTGGCGCACAAAAAAGGGGCAAAATGTATAAAACTAAAGTTAAAATGACAACAATGGGTTCTTAAACTAAAGCTAGTACGATACCAATATGTTCCAAGTGATGGCAGCAGGTTCAGTTAACCTGGTTGGTCCTGATCACAGGTTGTAGCTGGTACGGTCAAACCAGTCGTAAGATTCAACAGTACCAAAACAAAGGTATAACCCAAAAAAATTTACAGGATCTGCAACTCTTGTAATTATTGTTGAATTTTTATAAAGGAAAAATGTAAACAAAGCCTAATAAAATCAGGAAAAAATTAAATATGTATAAGAATTTTGAATGGGAAACTGAAAATAAGTATGAAATAGTTAAAGGCAATTTTGGCACGTTACAACATAATTATTACAAGTAGTAACTAAAGTATATTAATTTATATTTTCTTATGGTTGTTTTTTGTTTTAGCTTAGAATAAACTAGGTAACTACTTTATTATCACAATAAAGATTTCCTAATGAAAAGTTCTTAATCAAATTTAAGAAAATCCTGAAACAAGCACCTACCCCGACAATCGCGCTCGACTTCGCTTCCGTAAAATGGGTATGAATAATTTTAGCAGATCCCCAGTTTTACCCTTATTAAAAACAACGGGTACACGCTGTTTCACTTACACGAAGTAATCGGAAATAAAATAATATTTTCCAGGATTTTCAAAACTCTCTCGTTCACATTCTATCATCTTCCATGATTTATTCCTGAAAGCTTGTAATATGATAGCACCATGTATATTTTCATATTGATGCTTAAGTTTTAGCATTATATTAGAGGATATACCTACATACATTATAATTTTGCCTTGTAGTATAATTTGGGATTCCTGGAGATTACCTGCTTATGAGATGTTCCCTCGACTGCGGTTCTTCTTGAGTTTTAGCAAGTGATCTGGAAAATTAGATTCCCGCTGAAAACCAAATCAATTATGTTTGTTGTTTGTTGTTACATGAATACATTTGAGTAATTAGCATTTTTTGCTCTAATCCATTGCCAAACCAGCAAAAAATGGTTGTGAACGCAACTTGTTGGTGCCCAAGTATTTAACTGCAAAATTGCAAGGGATTTATTTTTTGATGCAAGCGCATGATTAAGGACATCTCTGGTTAAGTGGAAGGGTTTAGCGTAAATCTGTGTCACATGAATCAAGCAATCAATAATAGCCAAAGCTGGGATGACTGGGATTAGCAATTTGGACATCCTGAAAAAGGATTTTATATTTCTTGTACTGCTGATATAAATAAAATAAATATTCCTTACCTATCATCAAATCATCAAGTAGATTATAAAATATATTATGAGATATACACCGTGATTTATGTAGCTCGTGCATTAGAAGTTTTCCAGGTTGCAAGTGGATTAGTAGAGATAGCATCTAATCCACCTGCAATCTAATGCACGGGCTACGTAAATCACTATTTATATTAAAAACCCTTTTAATATTCAGGAAAATTATATTCATGTATTATTGCATGTAGAACAAAGGTTAACTATTATGTGATAATTATATTGTAAGCAAACTAAATTTTGGTAAAATAATCCCTGTGCTGGGTGTCGGAGACTGGGATATTTAGGTCAGATAATACACGTAAATCCTACAGTGTTGAAATTAAACTTGTGTACCGCTCAAATTAACATCGTATTATACAGGGTGTTCCGAAACTATTGTGCCAAAATTTAAGGGATGATAGATGTCGCCAAAATAAACGTTTTTCACTTATAAACCCATAGACGCATGCGCTTTGGTTAGGTGACACACACATTGCAGTTAGCGCTGTGGTAGCCACCTTGCACATGGAGAAACGTGTTTGAATCAGTAACTGTGTTATTAAATAATACAAAGGAATACAAGGAATGCTTGCAGTAAAGTTTGTTTTTCATTTAAAGATAATTCCCCAAGTCAAAAATTTAGTAACTATGTTGGCAACACAAGCCTTTTCTACATAAAAAATTTGAAAGCATTGACAATTTTACAGTGTATTGCCAACATAATGTCATTTTGACTTTTATCTTTAAAAAAGAAAACAGACTTTATTTATTAAAAACAATGATTCACATATTACCTTGCATTTTTTGGGACTTACACCTCAATTGAAATTAATACCAGAAGCTTTCTTGATCTTGATACGAATTACTACTTGCTCTCTGATTAGAGCAATTATACCTATCAGATTATTTTTATAAAATAAAATACTCGAATCGACTTTTTATAAACGAATTAATGATTCACATCAAAAGCTGCTCAAAATTACGACCACCGCCTTAATGCATGCGTGACAGCGCCCTAGTAGAAATATCGAGTAGATTTCTGCAGGAAACTCCTGAACACGTTAAAAAATTCCGGGCGCTTCGCGAATTTCAGCAGCTGCAGTTTCAGAGTTTTCATGTGACCCAATAAAAAAGAAGCATTCGGTCAGGTTTGGTAAACCTGGAGGCTATGCAATAGGTGCGCCCTTACCAATCACTCTTTCCTCCAGATTATGTTTCGCTGAGATGTTCCCTTATGGCTAACAAGTAATACGGTGGAGCTCCGTCGTGTTGGTACCACATGTTTTGTCTGGCATACAGGGGAACAGTTTGTAACAGTTCGGGAAGGGTTTCCTGCAGAAATCTACTCGATATTTCTGCTACGGCCGGCGCTGTCACGCATGCATTAAGGCGGGTGGTCGTAATTTTGAGCATCTTTTGATGTGGATCATTGTTTTTAATAAATGCTGCAAGCATTCTTTGGGTTTTGTATTATTTGATAACACAGTATCCGATTCAAACACGTTTCTTCATGTGCAAGGTGGCTACCACAGCGCGAACTGTAATGTGTGTGTGTCACCAAACCAAAGCGCATGCGCCTATGGGTTTATAAGTGAAAAACGTTTATTTTGGCGACATCTATCATCCCTTAATTTTTGGCACAATAGTTTCGGAACACCCTGCATATTGCAACCATAGCATCTTCAATTTAATCTCAGGAAGATTTTCTATTTCTCGAAAATCAACAACAGAACAAAGGTAAAAAATTTTGACGCTGGAATTCAGGTATTCATTAACAAGGTTAGCATCGAACACGAACAATGTTGGTGTGATAAGTTCTGGTATCCTGGGTGGCTAATTTTCAGTAAAAAAATTGAGCAGACTTTCATCCGTATTTCCTTCAAACTTCTAGGATAAGTGAAGAGTAAGATACAGTTGAACGAAGTTTCAGTTTTGATGCATTAGATTATTCGTCTGTCGTGAAGTCTAATTTTGAACATTTGCACTAGTGCACGATTGGATGATATCCAAAACATTTGATACTTCCAGCATGATGACGATGTGTCCGATTTTCAAATCGATCAATAGATCGTCGATAGGGGAGAATGTTCCACAATCAGACAAAGCATTTAAAATCTGTTTTTTTTTAAAGATAATTCCCAAAGTCAAAAATCTAGTAACTATGTTGGCAACACAATGCGAGGCTACATTTTTGAGAAAGTCCGTTAAGTATGATAACAGCTTCATTTACCCCGAAATAGAAGACGTCTCTTTGGTATGCTTGGAAAACATTAAGATGGTGTTACCAAAACCATCACACGTGGGAACAACAAAACGGCAACAATCAAATCATATTTGAAGTTTGAAGTAAATTTTTCAGCCTTAGAGGTTTTTACAAATTAAATGACTTTTGAATACTTTAAGACAAGATAACCTAGGGTCGTGGAATTCAAAAAAAAAAAATAACATAACCTGTAGCCCCTTTGTGTGCAAATGAAACCGCTCAAAATCCAACAAACAATAATTTTATTTTGTTTACAATATTATGTATATTGTAGCTTGGTTTTTCTTGGTGAATCTGATATCAAGTACCTGCTTTCCAATCCGGAGCTCTTCAATGGGTGTTGGGGTTTCACTTTCGTGAACTGGAGCTCTTCGTGTGGTTTCCTGTATCCAGGAAGAGGATAGATTGCTGGGGTGACGTCACTCCAGCTGATCCAGACTCCAAACAGTGATTTTTATGTAGAATAGGTACCCAGAAAAGAATAAGGCAGTATCAGGTTCACCAATATTTGGCACATTAAATTCCTGAATTCGGTCAAAAAGTGAGTGTCTTGCAAAGGAAATTTAAATTGAAATTTAATATAAAACGATTATTGTACAGACACTCCTTTCAACAGAATTAGGTATAAAAAACTATTGCAAGCTAAAAAAAATTAATAATATTTTGATTAAAAAAAATAATAATTAAGAATAATGATAAGATGATAGTAAAATAAAATAATAACAAGATTAAATTATAATGATTATAATACTCGTTATAATTGAGCAAAAATGCTGCTTTCCTGACAGCAGTTCTGGCAGGCAAAAATACGAGCAAAAATATGAGCAAAAATAAGGTAAGTACATAAAACAATAAAAAGAAATTAAATCTCTGGATTCTGTCCCCTAAATAGACAAAATTTTCCCCTCGAATTAAGGTAGCTACCACAGATACTAGATAAACCCGGGGTTGAAATTAATCAAATCCAGAATGTGTCAAAATTCTTGAGATGTTTTAATTAAAACTTTTTAACTGAATTTTTGACCTGTCTGGATTTCTATTGAAAAATTACACCCTTTAGTTGAGATAATAATTTAGGGAGTCAAACAGAAAATGGCTGTTCAGGCCTCTGCCTGGATTCAATAAAGAGTTAATGGGGATGGAGTCACGAATTTGGTTCTCACCGACTCTATTTAGAGTAAATGGTCCAATATCCCCACACTAAAAATTGATTCTGAAAACCAGAGCAGCAGTACCTTTTTAAAATCCAAAAATCTGTGTTGACTTACCTCTTAAAAGAAACGTGGCAGTACGAATCGACACTGGCACAAAATGGAAGGCAACAATTGGATAAAAACAAACTTAAAATACAATATTTATAAGATAAGATTTATCAGGTAAAAACTTAATAATGATACGATAATATGAATTGATAAAATCTACAAGGGAGGATACAGAAATTCAAAGCACAAAATTATTCTAAATAAAGTGGACTTGCCTGCCAGACTGTCTATCAAGGAAAGAGGACGTTTTAGAAACCAAAGCCAGCAGGAAAATGATCCTGTGTTTTTTATACCTAACTGCATTCCAACCAGCTTCAACCAATCAGACCAGTACACCCAAAGGACCATATTCACTTCAAAATGAAAACACAATAAAAGACCGCATGGAATAAAAGAGAATGGATAAAAATCCACTAGAATTATTTTAATTGTTTACAAATTATAATAATTTAAATTAAGGTTATGTCAAAAATAAAAAACTGTTAATTAATTAGATCATTAAGCCAAAAAAATGATTATTTCAGAATCAGAAGTTAGAAAAGGACAGAAATATATCCATTTGCTAAAAGTGAGATAAATATAATTTCTTTCAATAAAAATACAAATGACTGTCAAATGCGAATTAACGAAAAATCATACTTTGAAATATAAATCCATCGGGCACTAGATGGCAGTACCGGTAAGATATCCGCACTTTACGGACATGATGCATAGATGGCAGCACTTGTATTATTTGAATTTGAATTTTGTGGATATTATTTGGCTGATTCTAAAATGAAAAAAATACGACTTTATAATGAAAATAAGAAGAGATGGAATATGTTACATAAATGATAAATTTATCGTAACAAGGTTCGTTAAAACATTAAAACTTTTGTCTTATTGTGGAACATGCAGTGACTGGATGTGGAACATGTATGTTTCACAATCAGACAACTGTCCTTTAATTTTTAAATAAATTTTTTTTGAATTATTTTTTGATTTATGATGTATGTTCTACTATGAAAACTTATGGGTAGGCTTAATTTGTATTAGTGAAAATCACGTTTTGGTTTGTTCAATAAATATAAAGTCAATATGTAGCAAAATCTATTTTCTAACTGGTTGTGGACCTCTAACATCCCCTAATGGGCCTATGTTGGTCACAAGGTTTGCCTGATATAATCACAATGGACTTTTTCATACCTATGGGATTTTATTACAAATATCGTTTATAAGATCACGCCAAAGGACTCAAACGACGTTAAAATGAAAATTTAGTTACTTCATGAAAAAACATGGACTGAAAAGCTATTAAATTTCAAAAAAAAATCTACCGAAGCGAAACTGTGCTTACAGAACAATGCTGAATAATTTGAACAATTAGAATAAAAATTAGGCACTGCTATGCTGATGCTTATAAAGGAAACTTTACGTCTCTAATTAATAATTAAGCCTTTCATTACCCTTAAATT